TCTAAGAGTTGCCCTGTGACATAATATATGATCTATTTTTGAGAAGGATCCATGTGCTGCTGAGAAAAAAGTGTAACTTCTTGATGTTGGGTGGTATACTCTATATATGTCAATTAGGTCTAGGTTATTAATAGTGTTATTGAGTTCTATAGTTTCCTTATTCAACTTTTGTTTGGAAGATCTGTCCAGTGGCGAGAGAGGTGTATTGAAGTCTCCCATGATTATGGTATGGTGGTCTATTAGACTCTTGAACTTGAGAAGAGTTTGTTTGATGAACATAGCTGCACCATTGTTTGGGGCATAAATATTTATGATTGTTCAGTCTTGTTGGTGTATGGTTCCCTTAAGCAGTATGTAGTGTCCCTCTTTATCCCTTTTGATTAACTTTGGCTTGAAATCTATTTTATTTGATATGAGTATGGACACTCCTGCTTGTTTCTGAAGTCCATATGAGTGATATGATTTTTCCCAACCTTTCACCTTCAGCCTATGTATGTCTTTTCCTATCAAATGCGTCTCCTGTAGGCAGCATATTGTTGGGTCTTGTTTTGTGATCCATTCTACTAGCCTGTGTCTCTTAATTGGTGAGTTTAAGCCATTAACATTTAGGGTTATTATTGAGATATGGGTTTTTCTTCCAGCCATATTTGTTTATTTCTGTTACTAAACATGGTTTGTTTTCCTCTTTGATTATTATCCCCCCCTTTACTGTACTACCTCCCACTGTTGGTTTTCATTGTTATTTTCCATTTCCTCTTCCTGTAATGCTTTGGCGAGGATGTTTTGAAGAGATGGTTTTCTAGCTGCGAATTCTTTAATCTTTTGTTTATCGTGGAAGGTTTTAATTTCATCTTCCATCCTGAAGCTTAATTTCACTGGATACACAATTCTTGGTTGGAACCCATTTTCTTTCAGTGTTTGAAATATGTTATTCCAGGATCTTCTAGCTTTCAGAGTCTGTGTTGAAAGATCAGCTGTTATCCTGATTGGGTTACCCCTAAATGTAATCTGCTTCCTTTCTCTTGTAGCTTTTAAAATTCTCTCCTTATTCTGTATGTTGGGCATCTTCATTATAATGTGTCTAGGTGTGGATCTCTTGTGATTTTGCACATTCGGCATCCTGTAGGCTTCTAGGATTTGGGATTGTGTCTCATTCTTCAAGTCTGGGAAGTTTTCTCGTATTATTTCATTGAATAGACTGCTCATTCCTTTGGTTTGGAGCTCTGTACCTTCCTGTATCCCAATGACTCTTAAGTTTGGTCTCTTAATGTTATCACATATTTCTTGGATGTTCTGCTCATGGTTTCTTAACAGTCTCGCTGAACTGTCTATGTTCTTTTCCAGTTGAAATACTTTGTCTTCATTGTCTGATGTTCTATCTTCTAAGTGTTCTACTCTGCTGGTAGTATTCTCCATTGAGTTTTTAAGTTGGTTTATTGCTTCCTGAATTTCTAGGATTTCTGTTTGTTTGTTTTTCATAACCTCTATCTCCCTGTATAGTTGATCCTTTGCTTCCTGGATTTGTTTGCATAATTCATTGTCGAAGTGATCTTTCATTGTTTGATTTTGCTGTTTAATGTCTTCCTTGAGACTCCAGATCATCTGAAGCATGTATATCCTGAATTCTTTATCTGACATTCCATCTGCTGCAGCTGTTACCTCTTCTAAAGTTGCGTTGACCTGCATTGCTTGTGGTCCTTTCTTTCCTTGTCTTTTCATACTGCTTGTGTATCTTTCCTGCAGGCACGGGCGGGGGCTCTGCTCTCTCCTTATTCCAATTGGGGTGTCGTGGCTACCACGCCGGCAGGTCACTGGGCCTCTTCTGGGTGCTGGCGGCGGCTCTGTTCTGCCCCTACTCCAATTGGGGTGACGAGCGTACCACGCCGGCAGGCCACAGGGCCTGATCCGCAGGTCGGTTGCAGGTTTGCCTACCCTGCAGACGTGGGCGGCGGCTCTACACTGCCCCTACTCCAAATGGGGTGACGTGTCTGTCGTACCGGCAGGCCACTGGGCCTGTCCCGCTGGTCGGTCGCAGATCTGCCCACCTTTCGGGCACTGGTGGAGGCTCTGCTCTGCCCCTACTCCAATTGGGGTGTCGTGACTACCCCGCTTGCAGGACGCTGGGCCTGTTCCTGGCACGGGCGGCGACTCTGCTCTGCCCCTACTCCAATTAGGGTGGTGTGTGTACCAAGCCGGCAGGCTCCTGGGCCTGATCCGCCGGTCTGTTGCAGGTCTGCCTACCTTGGAGGCGTGGGCAGCGGATCTGCCCTGCCCCTCCTACCACGCCTGCGGACCCCTGGGCCTGATCTGCAGGTTGGTCACAGGTCTGCTCACCCTGCGGGCACGGGTGGCAGTTCTGCTCCGCCCCCACTCCAATTGGGGTCACGTGACCACCACACCGGCAGGGCCTGATCCGGGCGTGGGATAAGGATCTGCTCTGCCCCTACTCCAGTTGGGGTGACGTGTGTACCTCACTGGCAGGCCACTGGGCCTGACCCGCCAGGCTGTCACAGGTCTGTTTACCTTGCAAGCGCGAACGGCGGCTCTGCCCTGCCCCTCCTACCACGCCCATGTACCACTGGGTCGCAGGTCTGCCCACCTTGCGGGTGCGGGTGGCGGCTGCGCTCCGCCCCCTCTCCACTTGGGGTCACGCGGTCACCACGCTGGCGAGCCGCTGGGCCTGCTCTGGGTGCTGGCGGCTGCCCGGCTCCTCCCCTCTGGCTCGACGACAAATTGAGGAGACTCGGGTGTCTGTGCCTCACCCCCCCACCAGGAGACCAACTGTTTCTGTCGCCGCTGGTATTGATGAAGTTCTCTCCTCCGCCGCTTTCTGATGACATCAGATCTCTGCCATGTTGGTATCCTATGCGAATGGCAGCATTTCGTTCCCCTTGCCGGGCAACCAAAGCAACGGGTGAGTCCTGACCGGCCCTCAGCAGGACCTGGACCGAGAAGCAGTTTCCGCGGGCTCCTAGCCCCGGGCCAGGGAAGTTCCGGGAGCCGGAACTCGGCCGCTCCGTGCTCGGTGTAAGCTCCTATAAGAGTAGGCTCCAAGAAGCAGTCCCCGCTGGCTCAGTTCCGGGAGCCAGAATTCGGCCGCTTAGTGCTTGGTGTATGCTCTGATAGGAGCAGGGTCCAAGAAGTAGCCTCTGCAGGCTCCACAGCCCTGGGCCAGGGTGGTTCCGGGACGGTTCCGGGAGCCGGAACTCGGCCGCCCCGCACTCGGTGTTCGCTCCGATAAGATCAGGTTCTAAGAAGCACCCAGGCACTGAACCCTAGCAATCTGTCTTCAAGCCGCAGGCAAATTGCAGCCTGAAATTACCTGTTCTATGGCTGAATGTGCTGCGGTCAGTCGAAAACAGGGATGGTGACGTCAGCTTTCCAACATGGTCGCTGCTGGCCTCCTCTGTGGTCTGACCGGTGTGGAGAACCGAGATGGACCGCTTCCTTCCCCCGTCTCGAACCCAGAATTCAGCCATGAGTACGGTGCTTGCACGGCTGGCAGAAACTGCAGCGCTGTATCCCTGTGTCGCTATCTCCTCGTTTCCCAGCGCGTGCTGCAGACTCTAGCCACGGGGCGGTTTGCTGAATAAGCAGTGTTACCCTCCGTGCCACAAACCTCTCGCATTTGAGTCCCCGTAGCCGATCCTCGTGCGATGGAAATCCTTCCTCCAGGTTCTGGAGCACCCCACTATTGCTGGAAATTCCTAACAAGATATCCTTTAGCCGTCCTGACTTGTCATACTCCCACACAGTGAAGCAGCACACGGGGGCAATGCACTCCCCTCGCCACCATCTTCTTATCCAATCCACAATGTGAACTCTTAAAACTTAACATTAATAAATGGAACAAGTTGATTCAACAATGGAATGAGGGTCTGAATAGGTATTTCTTTAAGGAAAATATACAGAAAGCAAAATGAGAATATGAAAAAAATCTGATGCTTCATCATCATATTTAATTAAGGAATCACAAATTAAAACAATGAGATACACCTATTAGCAAGCCAATATCACCAGGAACTCTCTTATTCATTTATTGGTGGAATTGCAAAATAGTATATAGAATTTCTTCAGTGGTTTTATAGTTTCTGAATAAAAGAGTTTATGTACTTACCATATGATTCAGCAGTTACACCATTCAGAATTTATACAGATGAATTGAAAACCTATGCCCACATGAGAACCTGCACAGGGATGGTTATAGCATCTTTATCCACAATTGGCAGAACTTCAAAGTGAGTAAGATGTCTTAGAGAGTATTGGATAAATAAACTGTGATGCATCCAGACAATGGAATAATATTTGGCAGTAAAAAGAGTGAATTGCCAGTTCATAAAAAGTTATGGAGAAAATATAAATGCATATTATTAAGCAAAAGAAACCAACATGACTCCAAGAATATGACATTCTGTAAAAGGTAAACAATTGATGTAGTAATAAATAACTAATTTCAAAGAGTGTAGGAGAAGTATAAATGAAATGATCACAGAGAGTTTTTAGACCAGTGTAACTATTTTGTGCAACACTCAGTTGTGGGCAAATCACTAAACCTTTGTCGTAACTAACAGAATGTACAAGTCTGAGATTGAAATAATGTACATTATGGTGTTTGGTTCAGAATTACTTAAAGAGATTCATCAAATATAACAATTGCACCACTTTCGTACTGGATTTTGTTAATGAGGGAAGCTGTTTTTATGTGGGGAAAATGAGTATATAAACCGATCTGAACTTGTTCTAATTTTTTTTTTTATGGAGTAAAACATTCTTGAGAAAATTATAAAGCCAAAAGTGAAAATATTACTTTCTTGATTTAAAAAAAAAAGTGAATTTAGAATTATTACACTTATCAGGAGGTGGTATCTTTACATCAAAAATACTGGTGTGTGTAATGTGATTCAAACTATGATATTCAGCTAACCAGGACATCATTTATCCACAAATTAGTAGAATCATTATCTTTTCTCTAAGACATAGTCCATGTAAATTGGAGATTGGTGTTTGCTTCAGCAGCACATATACTAAAATTTGAACCATACAGAGAAGATTGACATGGCCCCTGTGCAAGAATGACATGCAAATTTGTGAAGTGTTACATATTTTTCTGAACAACTTCTCAGAAGATGATATATAATCAATCAAAAAATATATGAAAAAATGTTCAGTATCTCTAGAAATTAGAAAAATGCAATTCAAAACTACTCAAAGATTTTATTCACTCCAGTCAGAATGGCAGCTATTAAGAATACAAACAGCAGCAATAAGTGTTGGCAAGGATGTGGGGAAAAAGGTACACTCATACATTGCAAATTGGTGCAGCCAATATGGAGACCAGTATGGAGATTCCTCAGACAACTGGGAAAGGATATTGGATTTTATCAACAATATCCATTTTTAAGATTTGTGTTGTAACATATATCTGTACTTCTGTTTTTATGGTTGGATGATACCAAATTATTTTATATATTTTATATATTCTTTTTATATACCATATACAACAATTGTTCCTGAATCTATTAGTCATTTGTGTTTTAATTCTGTTGATGGGCTTATCATATTATTGATATGCATATGTTGAACAATAGTTCATCCCTAAGATGAATACCACTTGATCATACTGACAAATGTTTATAATATGCTATGGGATTCAGTGTGCTACTACCTTTTTATTTTGTTTTATTTTAGTTGTAGATAGACACAACACCTTTATTTGTTTATTTTTATGTGGTGCTGAGGAGTGATCCAAGTGCCTCAGACATGCTAAGCAAGTGCTGTACCACTGAGCCACAACACCAGTCCATTATGTGTGTGTGTGATAGTATTTTCTTGAGGAATTTTGCATTTATGTTCACAGACAATATTGGCCTATAGTTTTCTTTTTTCATTGTTGTTTTGCCCTCCTCTGATTTTCTTATCATGGTAATGATGGCCTCATAGAATGTGCTTGGGAGAATTTCTCTTCTATTTTGTTTGAATAATACAAAGATATTTGACATTAATTCTTATTTATAAATTTGTAAGAACTCAGAAGTGAAACTATCTAGTCCTTATCAAAGAATTGTAAAACAAAACCACATTGAGATATGATCTCACCCCAGTAAGAATGGCTATTATCAAAAAGACTAAAGATCAAGTGCTAACAAGGATGTGGAGAAATAATAACTCTGGCACACTATTCTTTGGAATAGCAATTAATACAGCTATCATGGAAAATAGTAAGGATGTAATTCAATAACTTGAAATGGAACTTTGATATGATCTAGCAATGACACCACTAGGTGCTTATCCAAAGAAAATGAAATCAGTATGTGAAAGATATCTGCACTTCCATGTTCACTAAAGCATTATTCACAATAGCCAAGAAATATAAACGGTCTAAATGTTCATCAACTGTTAAGTGGATAAATACTATATATATATATATATATATATATATATATATATATATATATATATATATATATATATATATATTACTAATATTACTATTTGGCCATAAAATTGAATAAAATATGTCATTTGAAACAAGATGTAGGGGAATGAATAACATTATATTAGGTGAAATAAGTTGCACACAGAAAGGTGAATACTGTATCATCTCATTCTTATTTGTACTCTAAAATATTTCATTGCACAGAAGTTGAGAGTAAAATGGTCATTATTAGAGGTTGAGGTCACTAGTGTGGAGAAAACACTACCACGATTTCCTGATTGCTATAGATAAATAATGAGCTTTTTTCTTTTTAAATTTAGATAATACCTACATCAATTATATCCCCATACGAAAGTGTACCATTCATTGGGTTTAACTAAATGCACAACTTGTAATCACCCTGTAAATAAATAAAAAACAGTAGTAGTCATTTCTTATTCTACTTCAATCATTCTGTCAAGTACTAATATTCTAGACATTTCATATAAATACAAGCTTCCAAAATTCAGTCTTCTATATCAGTTTATTTCTCTTAACATAACATTTTAAAGATTTGTGTTGTAACATATATCTGTACTTCTGTTTTTATGATTGGATGATATCTCATTGTGTGAACATACCATATTCTTTTTATAAACCATAGTTTGTGTTATTTTTACTATTTTGCTATTATGAGTAAAGCTTAATTTGAATATTTGTTTATGTAATTTTGCATTATCTTATGTTTTCTATTTGGTAGCATATACCTAGAAACATTGTTGTGCCATATAATAACATTATGTTTAATGTTTTAAAGACTTACCATGTGTTTTCAATTATATTCTTTTTTATTTACATTTACAACCGCAATATGTGTATATGTATATAAATATGTGTATATATGTATATATATATATATATATATATATATATATATATATATATATCACTTTTTCTCATCCTATTTGACTGATTATATGTCTTTTTATTATAAACATCAAAATATTTTGAAGGGGGATCTTATTGTGGTTTAATTAGATTTTTCTAATGTCTAAAAATGCTGAGCACAATTTTTGTTATAACTTAATAAGTCTTTTGTGTATATTTTTTTTGAGAGAGAGAGAGAGAGAGAGAGAGAGAGAGAGAGAGAGAGAGAGAGAATTTTTTAATATTTATTTTTTGGTTTTCGGCTGACACAACATCTTTGTTTGTATGTGGTGCTGAATATCGAACCCGGGCCGCACGCATGCCAGGCGAGTGTGCTACCTCTTGAGCCACATCCCCAGCCCAAAGGTTTTTGTTTTGTTTTTGTGGTCCTGGGGATTGAACCCAGGGCCTTGTGCATGCTAGGCAAGCACTCTACCAACTGAGCTATATGCCCAGCCCTTGTGTATATTTTTTGAAGTACTATCTATTAAGATATTTTCTCATCTTAAAATATATTATTTTCTTGTTTTGCTATGCAACTTAAGTTTTTGCATGTGGATATCCAATTATTTCAGTGAAATTTATTTTAAAGGCTATTCTTTACCTCTAGAATTGTTTTAGAACTTGTTGTATTCAGCCTTGATCTCTATGACCCAAAATACCTTGCAAGAACAACTTAGAGAAGGAAGGGTTTATTTGGCTCCCACTTTCAGTGGTTCAGTCCACGATTGGCCATCAACCCTCAAATCACATCCCCAGGGTTCTAAATCCTTCAGATACATTTTACCTAGCTATAGTTCCTATACAATTAATCCAATGGATCAATCCACTGATTGGGTTATAGCTCCCATAATCTAAACATTCCATATCTGAACATTTTTGCCTTGCTTTACTCAGGGCATTTTAGGGGATATCTCATATCTAACAATACAAGAACACTTGTCAAACATCAATTGATCATAAATGTATGGATTTATTTCTGGACTCACAATTCTATTTCTTGATAATGTCTACCTTTATTCTGGTACCACACTATCTTAATTACCATAACATTGGGGTTAAGAAATCAGGAAGAGTTCAGTCTTTCATATTTGTTCTTCTTTTTCAAAATTGTTATGTATTCTGTGTCCATCACATTTTAATGAGAATTTGGTTATTAGCTTGTAAATTTTTACAAAGGAGTGAGCATGGATTCTGATTTCAAAAGAAGGAATAAGAGGCCTCACAATATAAGTCAGACTTGAAATATCTTCAGGTAACCTACGAGAAGGCAATGAAGCTGGAAGTGTGAAACTGAATCTGCAATAGAGACCCCAAGGAGTTAGAGATGCCAAGAATATGAAATGTCTGCCAAGAAAAAAAATTAGGTAGTGAGAACAGGCAACACAAGGAAGGGGCCAGGTGAACTTCAACCAGAACCCATAGGTGTTGGGCTCCTTAAACACTTTGGTGATCACATCTTGCACACTGTGTCCCAGATAACAAAATTTAGATTTTGGTCTTGCTTTGGCTCCATTCCTTCTTCCTATGGTCCTATCGCTCCCTTTCATAATGGAAATGTTTACTCTGTACCATTAACTATAAGAACTGTGTGATTTACCTTTTAGTTTTTATAGGAGGCTACAACTAAGAGTTTCCCTTGAGTTTTTGTGCAGATTTTGCAATTGGGGTTTGAGCAATGCATAAACTATTGACCAAGAGGACTCTGAGATTGACTGAATATATTTTTCATTGAAAGATGGGCATGAATTTTTTTTGGGGGGGTGGTTAAAGACAGTATATTATGATTTGTATCTGTCATCTCCCACATGTTCTTCTGTTTAGAGGTGAGGTTTTAGAGAAAGGATCAGATCATGAGGGCTCTGACCACTTTAGTGGATTAATATGATGATCCTGAATTGACTACTGGAAAGGGGGACACAGTTGTAGGAAGGAAGTGACTAGAATTGTGCCCTGAAAAAGGCTGAGCTTCTATCCAGCAATCTCTCTTTCTCTCTGTCCTGGCTAACATGAGTGCCGCAGTCTGGCTGGGCACAATTCACGAGCCACTTATCAAGCAGAAACGAACTTTATTTTTAGAACACACACGCCACACCACACGAGCTCTTCAGGAATTCCCTCAGAGCCCAACTGCCACCACCGGCTTCCCACAAGCCTCTCAACCCCCCACTCCTCCTGCTCTTGAGGCCAATTGGCTGGGTCGTGTGGGCGGAGCCAAAAGAGTCCCCCAATGAGCAGCTCCATGGTCTGAAAGGGCAGGGAAACAGCCCAATGAGCATCACGGCAGAGGAGCCAATCAGCTGGCAGCTGGAAGTTTGCTGGGGCTGCTGTGAGCCAATCATCAGCTGGAAATTTGCTGGGGCCCCTTTGGCTGTGGCTCTCAACATCTCCTTCTCTCTGTTTAAACAACAAGCATATGGCTTAGGGACTGTGCCTGCCTTAGGTTGTCCAATACTACATATGGTTCTTACCCGTCACCGGATGAGCAGACCTCAAGGCGTCAGCCTCCTGTCTTAGGATGGTACCATTGCAATTGGATCTTACCCGTCATTGACTACTGGTCCAGCATACAGCCACACCTGTGGATAGGCCTTTGTACCAGTGTGTGGGGGGGTGAGGTTCTTTGCCTTACCTCTATTGGCCCCCAAATTTTAGCTGAACAACCATCACAAGCAGAAGGGAGGAGGATACACCAAGCCAATTGACTGCTCCTTTTGGATAAATTGTACCACCAATGACACTATCAGCAAAAATATGCCAACACT